TTCCAAAGTGCTGGGATTACAGGCATGAGCCACCTTGCCACCTGGCCCAGAAAGGACTATTATTTGTAGTTGCTTCTGGGAATGGGGGCTGCCTGCTTCTTTCTGTAACCCCTTCCGTGCTGTTTAAATTTTTACTTTGGGCCGGGCATGGTGCCTCACACCTGTAATCCTAACATTTCGAGAGGCCGAGGCACGTGGCTCACTTGATATCAGGAGTTTAGACCAGATACTGCACTCCAGCCTGGGTGACAGAGTGAGACTCCGTCTCGAAAAAAAAAGGACAAACTTTTACTTTGTACATGTTATTTTCATCAGTTTAATGAACTTAAATAACAAGTGTGTAAATTTGGTATTAGTAAAATGAAAGTGTTTGGTAATTGTGTGTTTTGGGTTTTGTGTTTCCCCTGCAGCTCTCTAGATGACACCACCTATGAAAGACTAGCAGAGGAAACGCTGGACTCTTTAGCAGAGTTTTTTGAAGACCTTGCAGACAAGCCATACACCTTTGAGGACTATGATGTTTCCTTTGGGGTACCTCTTGACTTCTTTTATTTTTCTGTTTCCCCCTCTAAGAATTTTAGTTCACTAAAATGAAGAATTCCCCTGCAGCAGAGCTAAGCATCACGTAGCATGGAGTTGTGGGTAGGATTAAAAGACTAGGGCTCCGGGAAGCGGAGGTTGCAGTGAGCCGAAATCACGCCACTGCACTCCAGCCTGGGCTGCAGAGCAAGACTCCGTCTCAAATAAATAAATAGATAAGACTAGGCTTCAAGCTGCAGCCCAGCTCTGCCAGGCTTGTTGTGACCCTGGGCAAGTCACTCAGCCTCTCTGAGCCTCATTTTCCGGCTTCAGTGGATACCCATGAAGACAAATCAGAGAGGGGCCAGAATGTGTGTTTGTCCGGCAGGCAGATGGAACAAACAACAAACTAGACCTGCAGTTCTTCAGCAGGGGTAAGAGAACTGCCCAGAAGTTATTCAGATTACAGAGAGTTGAGCCCTGCTCCTGTGAGACAGTGATGGGGTAGGTCGGGTGCATTCCTGGGAAGCATATTTTTGAAAAGCTCACCTGGGATTCTAATGTGTGTCTCTACGTCTTGTTCCTAGAGATTTTGATTACTTGGACTGGGGTGTGGCATGGCCTGGGCAGGGCACTGGAATTTTTAAGCTCCACAGATAATTCCAATGTGCAGCTCGTATGAGAACTTGTTTTTTTTTTTTTTTTTTTTAGAGAGTCTCACTCTGTCGCCCAGACTGGAGTGCAGTGGCGCCATCTCGGGTCACTGTGACTTCCGCCTCCTGGGTTCAGGCAATTCTCCTGCCTCAGCCTCCCGAGTAGCTGGGATTACAGGCACCTGCCACCATGCCCGGCTACTTTTTGTATTTTAGTAAAGATGGGGTTTCACCATGTTGGTTAGGCTGGTCTTGATCTCCTGACCTCAAATGGTCCACCCCCCTCAGCCTTCCAAAGTGTTGGGATTACAGGCATGAGCCACCAGATCAGGCTTGGTGTGAGAACTTCTGAGTTGGATGAAACATTAGCCCCAGATCCTAGAAGCCAGGGAAGTGCTGGTCTTTATCGACTGGCCACCAGGTGGCAGATTTGGGCAAGGGTCTGCCTTTGGAATTAGAATTATTGCTTAGGCCTTAGAGTAGTTCTTTTTTTGCCAGAGGCAGAAGATCCCTCGAAGATGGTTTTCTGGGTTGGTTTGTTTGTCTGTTTGTTTGTTTGTTTTTTGAGACGGCGTCTCCGTCTGTTATTCAGGCTGGAGAGCAGTGGCATGACCTCACTGCAACCTCTGCTTCTCGGGTTCAAGCAATTCTCCTGCCTCAACCTCCCGAGTAGCTGGAATTACAGGCACACGCCCCCACACCCAGCTAATTTTTGTATTTTTAGTAGAGACAGTGTTTCACCACATTGGCCAGGCTGGTTTTGAACTCCTGAACTCAAGTAATCCTCCCACCTCAGCCTCCCAATGTGCTGGGATTACAGGTGTGAGCCACAGCGCCCAGCCCCTCAAAGATGTTAATTCTCTTGATGGCAATTAACTAATACCAGGAAATGTCACGAAGCGTGTATTTTGGATTCAGTCATGGAATTGTTGAGGGCAATCAGCCATCAGACTAAAGGGATAGAAATGGTGTTGGAAATTGCAGCGGGAGCACTGGATGGAGAAGGCACTCCACATGATGGAGCAAGCAACCAAGTCTTCCAGAAGGTATCAAGCCTGACTATAAGGACAGTGAGGGAAGAGCAGAATTAGATGATTGGTTGATACCAGTGGTGAAGTCAGTCTTTTTTTTTTTTTTTTTTTTCTTTTTGAGACAGTCTCGCTCTGTAGCCTAGGCTGGAGTGTAGTGGCGCGATCTTGGCTCACCGCAACCTCCGCCTCCTGGGCTCAAGCGATTCTCTTGTCTCAGCCTCCCAAGCAGCTGGGACTACAGGTGCCTGCCACCACGCCCGGCTAATTCTTTTTATATTTTTAGTATAGACAGGGTTTCGCCCTGTTGTTGTCAGGCTAGTCTTGAACTCCTGACCTCAGGTAATCCACCTGCTTCGGCCTCCCAAAGTGCCGGGATTACAGGCAGCTCCAAAGTGCTGGGATTACAGGCGTGAGCCACCACACATGGCCTCAAGTTAGTCTTTTGAAGGGCTAGTTTCTGTTTAGCCCTTAGCGGGGAAAAGAAACTAATGGCAGTTAGTGAGGGAGGAAGTAGAACAAGGCCTGTTGAAACTCCTTTCCCATCATGGCCAAAACTTAAATTTTTTTAAGGTATCTCTGGGCTCCCCTTGGCCAAGAGATGGTTTGTTGAGTCGGTTGGGAGCTTAGAATTTTATTTTTATTTCTCACATCATTGACTCAATTTGAACCAGGTGACAAAACCTTTTGCTCTCAGTAGTGGGTCACAGAACCTTCCTGATTTCTGCCCTGAGAGTGTCTCTCTTAAGACAATATTAGGCTGGTAGACTTTCCAAATTCTGTAACCTATTCTTTCAAAGGAAGAGATGCCTATATTTTTCTAGCCAATTCATATGCTTTGAGTATCACTCAAGGGTAAAATTGTTTCTAACAAATCATTTACTAATTAGCAAATGTTTTAAGTGTAGATTTAGAAAGCTAAAGATATATAGTGGCTGCCATCTGTAGTTTGGACTTGTGATTAACTACATTGAAACGCTAACTGTACCCTAGAGTGTGAATTACTGATTAGAGTCCTTCAGGTGCTAACTAATTTATGTATTTCATGTTTGATATTAATATTACTTGAGCTTTGTGGGAGGGCAGTCTTTTCCTCCCCTGAGGTATAGCTGGAAGTTACCTCCTTTGTGAAGCTTTCCTAGATACTCTTAAGCAGACATGGTCCTTCTTTTCTTCCTTGCCCAGCACTCTGAGGATGACTCTGTGGAGCACTGATCCCTCTGTGTTGTAATTGTCTATTTACATGTCAGCTACCACCTATAATGGACTGACCTCCTTGACAGCAGGGATGCTGTCCATTCTTTTGTGTCCAGAATTGGTGGGTTCTTGATCTCACTGACTTCAAGAATGAAGCCGGGGACTCTCGCGGTGAGTGTTACAGTTCTTAAAGATGGTGTGTCCAGAGTTTGTTCCTTCAGACGTTCAGATGTGTCTGGAGCTTCTTCCTTCTGGTGGGTTTGCGGTCTCACTGTCAGGAGTGAAGCTGCAGACCTTGGTGGTGAGTGTTGCAGCTCTTTAAGGCAGTGTGTCCGGAGTTGTTCCGTCTTCCCGGTGGGTTCGTGGTCTCCTTGACTTTAGAAGTGAAGTTGCAGACCTTCATGGTGAGTGTTATAGCTCATAAAGGTAGTATTGACCTAAAGAGTGAACAGCAGCAAGATTTATCGCAAAGAGCGAAAGAACAAAGTTTCCACAGTGTGGAAGGGGACAAACAAAGTTTCCACTGTGTGGAAGGGGACCCAAGCAGGTTGCTACTGGCTGGCTCCGGCAGCCTGCTTTTATTTCCTTGCTGACCCCACCCACATCCTGCCAATTGGTCCATTTTACAGAGAGCTGATTGGTCTATTTTACAGAGAGCTGATTGGTCTGTTTTGACAGAGTGCTGATGGGTGTGTTTATAATCCTTGAGCTAGACACAGAGTACTGATTGGTGTATTTACAGACCCTGAGCTAGACACAGAGTGCTGATTGGTGCGTTTACAATCCTTGAGCTAGACACAGAGTGCTAGACAGAAAAGTTCTCCAAGTCCCCACTAGGTAGGCTAGACACAGAGTTCGCTATTGGTGTATTTACAAACCTTGAGCTAGACACAGAGTACCGATTGGCGTATTTACAAACTTTGAGCTAGACACAGAGTGCTAATTGGTACACATACAATCCTCCAGCTAGAAATAAAAGTTCTCCAAGTCCCCATCCGGCTCAGGAGCCCAGCTGGCTTCACCTGGTGGATCCTGCACTTGGGCTGCAGGCAGAGCTGCCTGCCAGTCCTGAGCTGCACCTGCACTCCTCAGCCCTTGGGCTGTGGATGGGACCCAGCGCCACAGAGCAGGGGGCGGGAGTGGGGGCAGCGCCCCTAGGGGAGGCTTGGGCGGTGCGGGAGTCCACCTTAGGCGGGGGAGTGCAGACATGGCGGGCTGCAGGTCCGGAGCCCTGCTCCGTGGGGAGGCAGCTAAGGCCCTGCGAGAATTTGAGTGCAGCGCTGGCGAGCCAGCACTGCTGGGGGACCCCACGCAACCTCTGTAGCTGCTGGCCCAGGTGCTAAGCCCCTCACTGCTCTGGGCCAGCGGCTCCGCAGGCCAGGCCGCTCCTTGTGGGCCCCCCCCCCCCGGAGCCTGCGCCCACGCCCACCAGAACTCGCACTGGCCCGTGAGCGCCCAGCACAGCCCCGGTTCCCGCCTGCGCCTCTCCCTCCACACTCCCCACAAGCAGAGGGAGGCGGCTCGACCTCAGCCAGCCCAAAGGGACTCCCACCATACCGTGGCGAGCTGAAGGGCTCCTCAAGCACTGCCAGAGTGGACGCGGAGGCCAAGGAGGCGCTGAGTGAGGGCTGCTAGCACATTGTCACCTCTCACTGTGATCCCAGTATCTGGAACAGTGCCAAGTACATAGTAGGGACTTAATAAATATTGATTCACTATGTAAATGAGACTTTTCCAAAACATGCTTTCATTGATGCCTCTCAGCATTTATACACCTTTTACCAACTTACTACTGGCCAAGTAGACAAATGAAAGCAGTAATCCAGATAAACCCAAGAAGACATCTGTTCTTCTCTTTTCTCCCTGTGGAGGGGGAGACTTAAGTGGCTTCTTAACTGGTGTGTCATCTGATCAAGTGGTCCAGGTAATGGATGGATGCCAATGTCTGGCCCCAGGCTTCACCCCGTACTGGCACTGGTCATTACAGAAGACACTGCACCAGAGCTGAAAGCACCTCTTGTCACTAGGCAGCTGTGGAGTCTACTGCACTTGACCTAGCAAAATCTGCCTAGAGACTGTTAGAGTCATCACACTATCTGAAGTTACCTCCAAACTGCCCTCCTTTTTTTCCCAG